CGTATTTATCAAGACAATGTGAGCTTCCAAGTAGGACCTCGCGCCCATTAGCATCACAGTCCAATGCTGCTTTTGAAAGCCCTAACACATGCCTTCCACCGGCAGCAACTGCTAGAAAGAACCACAAAAGAAGCGCTGTAACTATCTAAGCGGAGCAGAAAATGTTATACAACTAGTACTGTTTTCAGAAGGCAAAGAAAAAACACAAAAACGAACACCACAATCAATAGCAAGCAGACCATTCCATTACCCAGCTTTGGCAGCAACAAGCAAGGGAAAGTGGCCAACTACATTAACCTGACGCAAAACGGAAGGGGAAGGACCTCGGCGAGGTGACATCGGATCAAAATAAAGGTAATTAACCAAACATTTCTCACTTGAAATTTCACAATTAAACATGAACCTCATCGGTGTCCATTGACGGGCAAACTGTTCGTAGTGCTCTTGAAAGATCACCGGTATTTGATAAACTGCTGTTACTGCTAGCATCATAAAATTCACCTCGAGGTACAAGAATAGCCGGCAGTGCTAAAAATAAAGTTGGCTCATTTTTCGATGCTACTTTATTTGCCACTCCTTCTCCATCCTAATTCGCTTTGTATATAATTTTTCTGACTTCTTATAACTTTGTGATTCAATAAGTGTATTTTTGGTCCACACTTTTATCATTTAATTCTACCAAAAGTCTGCAGGCATGGCACGTTGGGGTAGGACTGTTATTATGCAGAGTAGGTCGAAGGTTCGATTCTGCCAATCCCTCTACGATTCGTTTCGATGGTAAATTTGTACTGGCATATGCTAGGGAGTCAAAGCCATCGCTTGCTTACAAACAACCTTCGAAAGGGTGAACCATCGGCAACCTTCTTGGTGGGTAGCTGCTGTTAGCATTTCTTGTCACTCGGAATACCTCTCGAACGCCTCCGTCTCTTACAGAGAATGAATCCGGAGTGAGTTTTTGACCTTTTAAAATTTGTGAAGATGTGTGACTAACTGACTAGCCGAGCCTACCGGTAGGCTCAGTCAGTTAGCTACACATTTGCACCAGTTTTTTCACATTCTCGTGTACCAAACGACTTATTTCCAAGCAAAAATTTCATTATTAAGGGTAACCCAGGCTAGAACGCACCAGGCGGGCCAGTGTGATTATGCGTTTTTGCACTTTTCGTGCCGTAGCAAGATCTCAAGGAATCATAGTAGCTAGCCCTATGACATACTGGCCTTCGAAGTTAGGGAGCTATTTGGCATATCAGTTACAAATGTCGACTTCAGCGACCCAACAAAAGAAAGTTCTTGGTCCGTAAAAAAACCCTGTTAGGAGAGTTAAATTTGAAATCTTTTAGTCGCACAGCAGGGGACATTTCCTTAAAATTAAAGCCTTCCAGCTTTTTCCGCTCCCGAGTTGGCAATTCTTTCGTAAAAGTTTTCATGCTCCCGTGAGTCCCAAGCAGTTCTAAGGAGCTGAATTTGAAATGTTTGGGTTGTACATGAGCGGGGATCAGTCCCCTACAGTTTCAGCTTTTTAGCTTTCCTTGTTTCCGAATTAGTTATTTTCTCGCCAAAAATTCCACGGGCTCGTACGTCGGTCCCAGGCGTCTCTAAACAGCTGATTTCGGTCATACATGATGAGGGAACATTCTCCTAAAGCTTTTCTCGTCCCCAGGTTGGTGATTTCCCCGCCAAAACTTCCACGGCTCGTACGTAAGCCCCAAGCAGTCCTGGGCAGTTGAATTTGAAATCTTTTTGTCATCCAAGGGTGGGAAACATTCCCCCAAGATTTCAGCTTTCCAGCTTTTCTCTTTCCCAAGTTAGCAGTTTCCCCGCCAAAACTTTCACGTGCTCGTACGCGGGGCCCAGAGGTGCGTGAGGGTTGAAAGTGCGGTCCTGGTGTAACACCTGGCTGGGAACACACTGGCAAAATTTCAGCTTCAAAGCTTGCGTGGTTAGTGAGTTGAAATACCCGGACAAACGAACACACACATACACACAAACGTACACATACACTGATAGAGTCGTTGCAATATGCATTTTTGCTGCCTGTTGCAGCACTCTAGTGATGCACGACAAAAACGCATAAAAACAAAAATTGGCCAACGCACGGGCTGCCCGTGCGAAGATGCGTTTTTTGCAGAGTTCCCTGC